ATAAATTGAGGTGCTGTAAAACTCGAATCAAAATCTTCAAATAAATTAGGAAAGAAGGTAGGAAGAAATGTTATTTTTTTCTTTAAATTTAATTTTATTATTATTTTTTTAAAAAATACAAAAATTCTGTAAACTTTTCACTAATATAAAAAGTAAAATTCCATATAGAAAACTTTATCTAAACGCCTGTAAAGTCGTCTTTTCCGCTTAACAATTCTAGTTACATGCTAAATTATTTTAATTTCTTAAAGATTAACGTCATTTTTATCTTAATTAATGGCTGGAATTATTAATTTGGCACCTGTTTACCTAAAATTAATATTTAATTTATTAAATATATTCAAAAATTTAATATAAATGTATATATGTAGGTACATAAACACCTTTTCTAGATACAGCTGCCATCTTTTGCTTGTAAATTAAACTAGAATGCTTTAAAAAGAAGGTGACGAATATTGTTAAAATTTAATCTTTTATCAATGAAAGGGGAGAGAGAAAGAGAGAGAGAATCTCGTGTTTGTGTGAGTTGATAAAGATTCAAGTCGTCATCTCTGCTGATTCTCGAGGGCATTGTTCTTTGAAAAATTTACTGAAAAGCTTTACCACAGAACAATAGAGCTGTTATCATAGCGATAAACTTGCCCTACCCTTTTTACACCCCTTTTTTTTTATTTATTTATTTTTTCTTTCTCTCCTCCTATCTATACATAGAATACTAATATTAAAGCTGATCTTAGGGTAGGGAAGCTCAAGATCAGATACAACTCTACTATGATATAACTCGAGCATTGTCTGATAGAAAGTTTTAAGTTGATTTATCTGTTCATGTAAATGTAGTTAAAGATAAAGCTTTGTGTGCGGTACCTGGAGGCATTAGATTATACACTTTTAAACATTTTATATAACTTTAAAGCATCTCTCTCTGTTGATAAAGTTTGAAGTTGTTACACGCATTTTTCTATTGAAATTTTGAATGTTTTGACCTGTCTGAATGCTTAAAAATCCTTTGAGAAAGGTAAAAAAAAAACTTAATAATTCTATTCTTTTATAAAAATATTTTAAAAGGAAGCCCTTAAGGTGTGTTTACATTTTGATATAATTGCAGTTAATTAGGCTGCTTCTAGACAAACAAGCAGATTTTTTTATTATCTTAAGTAAGAAGAAAGAAAGAAGATAAATAAAGCAAAATATCTTTGCAAAACTTTAAAGAAATTAAAATTTAATATAAGAAATTATCTCTTTACATTCTTTAGGGATGATAGAGAAATATTAAAGTAAGGAAGAGCAGAAATTCCCTCCAAATTCTCTTCACAATTATAATTAAAATATTAATTTTATTAAAGGATATTAGAGAAATTAAAGCAAGAATTAACACAATAACTTCGTACAAATTCCCTAAATTTTAGGGGAAATAAGTTATTTAGGGACTTAATATATAATTGAAGAAATTTCCCTAAAACTTAGTTTAATTTCCTTGGAATTTCTTAAAGAAATTAGAGGATAAAGAAATTAAAATTTTCAGATAGAATTTTTTTTTTAAGATTTCCAGAGGAAGACTCAAGAATTATAATTCAAAATACAGAAAAATTTCCTGATTTTTCCCTAAAGAATTTAAAATAAAGTTAGAAAAACACTGTTTAATTTCTTAAAGCGAGTTTAAGAATATTAAAATTAAGGATAAATGCATGAAGATTTCTTTCCTGAAAGGAAAATATATATGTATCTTATGGTTCCTAAAAAACAATAAATCTTATTTTTATCGAATCATATCAGA